ATAGAGGGCGACGTGCTTGGAGAACATGTCCATCAGGACCAGCACGTATTTGTTCTCCTCGTGCGACCTTGGCAACGGTCCAAACAGGTCCACGGATATCGTCTGTCCGGTGTCTTCCGGTCCCTCGTAGTAGAGCTCGCCCACCGTCGGTCGAGTGTAGTGCTTCGACGCTATGCACGTCTCGCAAGACGCTGCCACGTCTCTGGCGATTTTGTCCAGGTTGTTGACGTGAAAGAGGTCTTTCGTGAATTGCACCACCTTGTCGGTGCCGAAGTGTACCAGATGCTTGTGTACCTTCTCCACCAATTTCCACGCTATCGCGTCCGGTACCACGACGCGATCCGACCTCGCGTCGTTTGTGCGCACTCGCACCAGGTTTCCGCGTATCGCGTACCCGTTCGGTCTCTCCCGGAGCAGGTCGCGTATCGCGGGGTCGTCTCTCTGCGCGTTTCTTATCCAGTCCGGGAGGTCGTTCAGATACCTCTGTTCCCGCGGATCCGCTTCCGTCACGGCCAGCTCGTTTCCGGTCGGGTTCTTCGCCCTTTCCGGCGGTGGATTTCGCGACAGCGTGTCCGCGATGGTGTTCGACGCTCCCGGGATGTACTGTATCCTCAGGTCGTAGTTTTGAAACTTTTCCATCCATCTCGCGATCCTTCGACTGTGGATGGCGCACGACCCGAGAAACGTGAGGGCTCTGTGGTCCGTCCTCACGTACACCCTTCTCCGGTAGAGTATCACGTTGAATTTCTCGAGGGCCCACGCTAGGGCTAGGCCTTCCTGCTCGGTTGTGGTGTAGTTTCGCTCGGCCGGCTTCAACGCGCGGCTCGCGTACGCCAACGTGTATTCCCTGTGGGGCTTTCTCTTCTCGAATTGGTAAAGCCGGGCTCCCAGTCCGACGCACGACGCGTCCGTCTCCAGACCGTAGTGCAGGTCTTTTCTTACGAGGAACAAACATTCGGCGTCGTTTATGGCCTTTTTTATCTCCTCGAAGGCTCGTCGCTTCTCCGCGTCCCATCGGAACTTTGCTCCCTTTTGCGTCAGTTCTTCCAGCGGTCTCGTCATTCGCGCGAGGTTCGGGACGAACTTCCGGTCCCAGTTTGCCAGTCCTAGGAACGCTTGCACCTGCCTCACCGACTGCGGCGTTGGGAAGGCCCGGATGGCCTCCTTCGTGGATCTGGTCATCTCGATCTTCGTTTCGGACAGGTTGTGACCCAGGAACGATACTCGCGGTTTCAGAAACTCGCACTTCTCCCTGTTCAACTTTATCCCGGCCTGTTGCAGGGCTCGGAACAGCTCGTCGAGCTGCTCGATTTGCTGCTCCGGTGTCTCGCTCGCGATCAAGATGTCGTCCAGGTACATCGTTATGTACGGACGCAGGTGGTGCACTCCGGCGATGACTCGGTCCAACGCTCTCGTGAACGACGCTCCGGCCGTCTTGAGTCCGAAGGGCATCCTTTGGAACACGTACGTCTGTCCGTCGAACAGGAATCCGGTGTATTTCTGCGATTCCGGCTCGATTTCCACCTGCCAGTATGCCTGGTTCACGTCTAATTTGCTGTAGACTTTCCTGTCGCCTATTCTCGCGATGATTTCGTCGATGGTCAAGGGTTGCGCGTGGTCGTTTCGCATCCTCTCGTTGACGGCTCTTCCGTCCAGACAGATTCTCACCCTTCCGTCCGTCTTCTCGACGATCACCAACGGGCTCACGTAATCCGTGGCTTCCTTTCGAATTATCCCGTTCGCCTCCATGTCTTCGATTTCCTCGCGTACCGCGTCGAGGTGTTTCAGCGGAACCGGATATTTCTTGGGCCGGGGAGGCGTTTCGTCCCACATTCTTATCTCGTGTCGATAATCCTTGACTCTGCCGAGCGATCCGTCCAGTAGATCCTCGTACTTGTCCAGAAGTCGCTGGAGTTTCATCCGGGTCTCCGGTTGTAGGAAGGTTGCTTCTTCTTCTCGGGTATCCCGGGTGGGTGGGTCGTCATCTTCCACCGTTTCTCCCTCTTGCTCCTCGAGCGTCGGCTCGAGTGCTTCGGGTGAGATCGTCGTCTCCTCTTCCGGCTCTGATTTTATGCAAAGGTTCGACCTTCTGATGTTCAGTATCGGTCCCGTCTCCTTGTCGTACGTCAAGGTTGCCTCTTGGTTTCTCAAGAAATCGACGCCCAGTATCATGGGTCTGGTCATTCGGGGTGCGACGTAGAACGAGTGGTTCCAGACGATCGTTCTGTCGGCGGTCGTTTTCCCCAGAAAATCCAAGTTGGCCATCAGACTGCACTGCGTTCCCTCCTTGCTGAACGCGCTGGCGATGGCGGTCTTGTTTATCTTTATCGTGCGGAAGAAACCGCCCCTGGGGGGTTTCTCGCCGTGTTCTCCCGTCAGAACCTCCGAGAATTCTTTCATGAGGTTNGAGAATTCCTTCATGAGGTTCTGGCTGACCAGGGAAGTCGTCGACCCTGTGTCGAGTAGCGCTTCCGCTTTGTGCGTGTGCTCCGTCCACGCGAGTTCCACGTTCAGCAGCGGTCTTCCCCTGCTGTCCGTTTTCAGCGGTATGTCGACGTTGATCTCGTCGGTATCCAGCACTTCCTCGTCGGCCTCACCCACGTTGGTGAGTTCGACCTCGGGTGGTCCCTCGGCCACCTCTTGAGTTTCTTCGCGCGGTGCGCGTCTCGCCTGCGGCGGTTTGTCCCTGCCCGCGTCGGCGGTATCGCGCGACTTTGTCGGCCCACCCGGAGGGCCCGTTTGGCTCTGCTTCCGCGGTGGCTCCTCTCTTCTCGGCCGTTCGAACCTGTCGTTCCTTTCGGCCGGTCTTCCGTCCGTCCGGTATCCTCGAGGTGGGGGGATGTCTTCCTCCCGGAAATCCCTCGGTGGCTCCCGCCGCCACGCGTATCTCGGCGGTCCCTGGCGCGACGTCGCGGTCTCTCGGTACCGCGTCGCCGGCGTCGGCGCGTAGTAGGGTCGTCGCGGTGCGACGGCTCTCTCGGCCCAATCGGTCTTGACTCTCGTCCTCTGGTCGTTGCGCCGCCTGTCGGCGTCTATAGCGTCCAGAGTCTCCACCAGTCGGTCGACGTCGCGTATCAGGCTTCCCCGTAATTCTTGCTGGACAGGCCTGTTGAAGTGCGCGGCTACGGCCGTGACGAATTCCCTCTCGGGGATCGGGTTGTCCAGGAATTTGTTCTCCCGGTGATACCTGAGGACGTAGTCCGACATGGTCTCGTTTTCCGCCGGCGCGTATCGCCCCAGCAGAATCTCCTGGTGTACCTCCAGCTGTCTCGCCGTACTCCAGTATCTCTTTTTCAGGGCTTCGCAAGCCTCGTTCACGCTCGCGAAGTCATGGACGGACCACCACGTTGCGGCTTGTCCGACCATCGCGTTTTCCAGGTGATAGAGTGCGGTCGACTCGCTCATCCCTTCGTGTCGCAGGACCTTTCTCACCTTCCGGATGAAATCGACGGGGTGAACCTTGCTTCCGGACCCTGCGAACTTCCACTGGGAGAAGGGGTTGCCCCCCGCGTACGGTTGTACGTGCGGTGGCATATACCGCGCGTCCGTCGGCCTCGTCGGATAGCCGTACTCCCATGGTCCGCCGTCCTGTCCACCCGGGTGATCGCCTCGATCCTCCCCCGCGTGGCGAGGCTCCCCGCGGCGCCAAGTCCTGTCCACCGTCCACTCCCTCGTGGCTCTCTGGCTTCCCTTCGAGGAGTGAGACGACACGGAATCTTTCCTCAGCATTCTGCTGGACAAGTCGGCCAGTTGGCCCGTGAGACTGTCCACGTTCTCCGTTTCTTCCAGTTTCTCGTCCACGGCGCGCTGGTACGCCGTGCCCGCCCTCGTCGTGGACTGCTTCTCCACCTGAGGTATCGGTGTCCGCATGACCCTGGGTCGTCTCATGAACGACGCCTGTTCCGCATCGATCGAGCTCGCTCGGTGGACCCTTTCCCTATGGTCCGTCCTGTCGTCGTTACTGACCCTGTCAGTCCCAGAAGCCCCCTTCTGGTCCATGCTCGCGGGTACTCGACCGTTTCTCCGGGTTCGCGCGTCGAGGGATCCCTCCGTCCCCCTGTGACTGTGTTACGCGCGAGACTCGGGCGTTGCGGGTGGTTAGCGCGGCTCTACGCCCGCGTTCGGCGGGGTGTCCGGTAAAATTTCGTCCGGGCGGTTTTCTCCGCCGAAGTAACCTGTTTCGGTTTTTTACCGGAAAGTTTGCGGTCCTTTGGGTCAATTTGCCTAGCGGCGCTATTTCGCACGCGTTCGTCCAGCCAACTGCCGGTTCGCTCGGTATCCGACGGTCCTATCGCG